GCAGTCAGAAAGACGAGGGAGAGAAGAGAGATTCACAGGTATCTTTGGTAACCGGAGGGAAGCAATGAAAGTGACAGACAAGACTGTGAGGGACATCACCCATCCATCTTCCTAAGAGCATGAGCCGGCCTGTAGCACTAGAACAAGTCCTGTCAGGAGGACAAGACAGCCAAATGTCCAGGTTGTAAGGTGAAAGCTTCTTTATTGTCAAGCAGGAAAGCTAATGGCTTTTCACACAGATTAAATCTGAGATTAGCTGAGAGGACTAAATGCCTAAAGTGAACAAGCTCTAGTGACATCTGGAAAAGTTTGGTCACTGTACAGGATGGTGCTGCTGAAACTTTGATGCAGTCGTGTGTTGATGTACAGTACTACATTTCTATAGCCGCAAAAGATCCGGTTCCAAATACATGTCCATCATGTACAATGTCCTGGAAGGTTGACATTTTTGAGACCCCCATCCAAAAGAAAAATCTCAGCCTACACTCCTTAAGGACACTGATCCATAAATGTCCGTCACATTGTCTTGTTATATCGGTGGCTATGCTATTGACAAGTGTCAAAATAGGGCATAAAAACATCTTTCAGTGCCAATCACTGCTGTCTGAATCATGAGCTAGCACTCTTTCCGTACTGCTGGGTAGTGAAGGCAAAACTTTCCTGAGAAACCTATGGGAATTGTCACTGTCAATCCTCTCCTGAACATGCCAGTTGCCAGTCTAGTAAACTGACCAACTGGCTTCAATAAGGTTGTGGTCAATGACTCCGAAGAAGTATGTATATCTGCTAAAAGTGATTTAAATGCTTGTTCCAGGGAAGGGACACAAAGTATTGAAGGAAGATGGTAACAGTCAGGTAACTAGAGTTAGAAGAATGAGAAGTAGCAATGGCAGCCCCCATGTCTTTCCCAGGCATTATACACAAGGGCTTCATCCTGTATAACAGTTTACACCAAGCTTTTACAGGGCTTTCAGCAAGCTTGGTTGAAGCCCTTAAAAAGCAGATCTATGGAGGTGAGTGATTTTCACTCATCCTCATAGTTACAGCCGACGTGTGACAATGAAACTGTCACGTCGGCCCAATAGATTCGGGAAGTGAGGAACACATACCGTTGCTCGCTCACTTCTCAAACCTGTCCCTGCAGAGAGCCTCTACGGTCACTCATGGCTCCCTGCAGGTATTCCACCCCTCCCCGATCCTCCAGTGCTGACTGGAGGAATGAACGGGGGAGGGTGCGGGTACAGCTGTCAATCATTCAGCTAGGTGCATCTCGACAGTAATGTCGGGATCTGTCCCGGCTGCGGCGGTCTCAGTATCGTTCTCCTTTAATGTACCATTTAGCTCCAGTTTGTGAAATTTAAAACACAGAACTTAATAGGTGGGCTAACTGTTCCTTTAAGCAAGCTGCCAGCGGGCTGCAGTAAGCGTCAACACTACTTGATGCATGATAAAAGCATGGTGAAGCCTTGTAGCAGCTTCTGAGCATTCTCATTAAAGATCTGTGTTTAACATTCCCCAACTGGAATGAATATTCTTTAAAAATGCTTCAATAAAGTAGATCAAGACTTGCTGAAAGCTTCCCAAACCTTGCTGTATACACTGCAGTTATACAAACTGGAGCCCATCTGAACAAGGCATCAGGATAAGTTCCTTTAAAGTGAATACAAGCCCCAACAATTAACTTCTTCTTTGCACATTTTGGTCTGCTGAATATATACTGAAAAGTATTTTGGTACATCTGTTCAATAAGTACAAAAAATACCTGTTAAATTTGCCAGAAATCTAATGAACTGATTACTGTGTGCAACAGGAGGGGGCGGAGATGAGGAAAGGTCTGTGTTCTTTGTAGTTCAGAAATAAAGTAGGCAGGACTGACACCACTTGCTTAGGGATTCAGAGCTGTGTTGTCATGTTAAAAGAGGGGGGTAGGAGCACACTATTTTTGGCACCTCAACACTGATTTTTCTTTATTGGCAGTCTTTAAAAGAGTTCAAGCATGGGGAAATAAGTCATGTATTTCAGATATGCACTAAGTATTTTCTTAATCTGCCTTGACATATACTGTAAACTCTCTCTTGCACTAAGAGACTGCTAGGAATTTACATTGTACACTCTGGAGCAGCACCCATTATTGTCCTATTCATACCAATACCACACCTGCTGATGGTAATGGCACAAGAAAAAAAAAAAGTCTCACCGTTGAACAGTTCATTTGTCAGATGAAAAAAACAAAATTCCCCACAATCTACTTTAAAAGGAAACTCCACCTTAAAAGAGAACATTCTATATAGCATATAAAATTGCTGCACAAGCCCATTTGTATTTTAACGTCATTAAATTGCTTTTCCATTTAAACTGCAGTCGCTGCAATTTTCTAAAAATGCCAAATAAATTCAGTGCAACATGGCAACCTGGAGGTGTTTGTACACAGTTTCTGTACAGAACTCCCTCAGACATGTCATTGCTAGCTTCTGTGATTGGCTGACTGTCTATGACAGATGTCTGCACTAAGATACAAGTAACATTTTTGGTATCCCTTGCAAAATGAATATAATTATTGCGAGATGCTCTCTAAGGGTTTTATTACAACTAAAGTAATGCTGGCACTACAATTTTCCTCATTACTAAACAGAAAGTCCACCAGTTGATTATAACCAACATAGAACCTCCCATTCATGAATCAGTTTGGAAAGGAAATGCTGAAGCAAACAGAATTTCTTCAAAACAGAAAAATAATTTTCCCCCCCAATCCTTGCACTGTACATTGATAACCCAAAGTAACAACAGTGGAGTTACTCTAAGTTTGCATACCACTGACCACTATAGTTGGGTATTTATTAGTACCAAAGATCAAGAAGGATTTATCCATATCCCCTG